CAGCCTGAGGAGCAGAAGGCAGGGTGGAGAGTGAATGGAAGGCTTCTGTTTGAGCGATGATGTCAAAGAGAGTTTCTGTGCTCCAAGTGCCCCTTCAAATGATGCTTCTAAAAGCTCACCCTGCAACTCACTAGCTGTGTGACCCTGGGCAAGTCACTTAACCCCATTGCCTAGCCAAAAAGAAAAAAAAAAGCTCACCCTGCGGGCCAAGCAAAAGCTATTTAACGGGGCCTTTTATGGGCCTTGCCACCTGACAGGTACCCTTTCTGGGCCTCAGTTTCCTCCAGGCAACATCCTGAAGCAGCTTGAATCAGGAAGACCCAAGTTCAAATCCCACCCTTACCACCAGCTGTGGGACTCCTGGCAAGTCAGAGCTCTAAAGGGGCCTCGAATGACCACCTCGTCCAGCTCTCTCATTTTACAGATGAGGAAACTGAGGCCTGGAAAGGCTAAGGATCAGAGCTGGGATTTGAACCCAGGTTTTGTGGCTCCAAGTCTAATGTTTATCCAACTCCACCAGGCTGCCTGAGCCATTCCTCTACGGTCTAACAGCCTAGAAAATGATCTCTGGCCCTAGCTTGGGGTGGCAAGCCCAGCAAAAGACAGGACAATCATTTTAGAAACTGGAAACCAGAAGCCCAGGGAGAATAAGTGATCTGTCCAAGGTCACAGCAAAGAACGGAGCGGGGGAAATGAAGGCTAAATGACTTTGAAATGCCCAAGGAGGACTTCCTGTGCCCAGACCCCCAGCTGGACAAGGTGACGGACAGCACCGGGTCAGCAATGGCCAGGCACGGCCCTGTGCGTGTCGGGAGCTACCTGTTCCCAAGCCAAGTTCAGGCAGCCAAGAGCTCCCCTGCACCCTCCTCGAGCAACACCTCTTCCTCAAACTTAGGGGCCCGCGCTGGGCTTTCCCCTCTTATCTAATCAACTTGGCAGCTTAATTTAATTAAGACCGATTTTGTATGCCCCAGCAGTCACGAGCCATGTCCAGCACAGATGGTGGGAGCCCACGACGCTCCGGAAGCCCAGATACAGGCTATCATGGGCAGAGCTGAACTCCTTCAGGGGACCATGGCCTTCTGGAGCAAGGAGGGGGCTACAGGAAGAGAGGGGTCTCTAGCTCAGTCTCTGCCTGCTCCAGCCCCGAAAGAACCAGCTGGCCCACGTTCCCCGATTGCGGATCCCTTCTGATCCACCCGGGCAAACCTGTCAGGGTCCCCCATCCTTCCTCCCTTTCCCCAATCATACAGTGATCCCCACACCCGTCCATCCAGGCCCAGGCCTCCAGCCTCCATTTTCCTAACTGTAAAATGAGAATACTAATGGCACCCACCTCTAAGGACTGTGCTTAGCACACTGCCTGGCACATAGGAGGTGCTAGAGAGATGTTCATACAGACCAAGCAGTCATTAACCACCTACGTGGGCAAAGCCCCACACCTGGCCTGGGGTACAAAGGCAGGCCAGTATACAGCCCGCTCCCAAGGGAGGGCTTCCAGGCTGATGGAAGAGGAGCCAAGAACAGATGGAGCTCAGTGCCAGGGACCCAGGAGGTAGGGGGAGAGAGAGAGGAAGGGGGTCAGGAGGGACCTGACCTCAGCACGGGCTTAGATAGGCACCAGTGTGGCAGACGAACAGCCAAGGACATAGGCCGGAGGCAGCCTCCTTGCCACCCCTTCTCTGCTCTGGAACTGAAGAGAAGCCAAGAAAACCAGGGCACCCCGACAGAGGGGGAACGGCAGGACAGTCAAAGTCCCCTGAGCATCGGGAAGGAGAAAGGCACCGCGCTAGGTGCCCACGCAGATGACCGGCCGAGGACCTTACTCTGGAGAAAGCACAGGAGATTTCGATGAACTGATGCAGAGGGGAAAAGGCAGAACCAGGAGAATAACAGACACAGGCCAGACCAACGGTCTGAGTCAGAGCAACTAGAAGACCCTGGTCCGTTACACGGGTCAAGGTTCGAGACAACCTCGCTCTCTTCTGGCCTGCTGCCCGTGGACAGACCGACTTCTGTCGGGGAACCTCACTTTGTGGGACTTTCTTAGGAGTTTAATAGCCCTGCGAATTATCCGTCCTTCCAAATTGCTAAGTTCTATTTCTGCATGGTTAGATGCTGACAAAAAAGGAGCTTAACAAGTATTGGAAGAGCTTCAGGGAAATGGGCACATTTCTACCCTGTTGGTGGAGGGAACCTACCTGAGGTAGGAGGGGAGGTGTTCGGGGGTTTGAGGGAGGACCTGCTATATCAAAAGTGGATCAATTACCTTGAAGCTAAGAAAAGAAAGGGCATTCAGCACCCATTCCTAGCCCTTCCTGAATGTCTCCGCCCTGCTCTTCCCTGCCTACCCCATCCTCAGCTTTGGGACTCTGTAATGGGCTAGAAACCCACAGCACAAGGGACTGACGGCAGAGGACTCGGGGGCCTGGGAGGTCAGGGGTAGGGTGGGGGCTCTGCAGCCTCTGCGGCCCAGCAGCCCCTGACGAGATGACGAGAACTGCGAGGCCCTTCGGGAAACCGCGGTCATTCCCTGCAGGCCGCCAAGCCAAAACCCTAGACCCGCCGCCTCACTTTAAAAACCCGAGCGCTCGGCGATAGCTGTCCTGTGTACCTTTTCCTTTTCCCTTTTCTCTTTCTGGCCATCACGGTTCAGTCCGTGAACACGGAGAGGCCAATTATTCATGGCTCATGAATGCCACCAAGTCAAATAGAATTTAATGGGCAAGCGTGTGATATTCCTGCTTGAAACTTTACATATGAATTAAGCACATATGGGTTTCATGAGGCACAGAGTCAGATTTATGGAGCTCTGGCAAAAGCCCCTGTTACTTAAGACTTTTATTCCACTAATAAACAGGCTGATTTATTGGCTGGGGAGCTAATGAGGCCGCCAGCAGCGCCGATGGCTGGTGCCCCCTGCTGGGAGGCGGGGCGAGGGGCTGACCCGGACTGTGGCCTTGAGCCAGCTCCAGGGACCGGAGAGAACCCGAGGCTGGTCCCTGGGCCCGACGGAGGGCTCCGCCTAGGACCAGGAGGCTCCGGAAGCCGTGGATCCAGTCAGAGGGCCCCTCACCCATCTAGTTCGACCCTCATTCCCCTGGGATTTCTGACCCCAACTTGCTTCCCAACTCAAGCAAGCTTGGTCTGGTAATGACCAGCACCCCTCAGGAGAAAGAGGGAGGCCCCGAGAGAGAAACAAGCTAAATGGCTTGAAATGACTGGGGGGGGAGGAGGCGTCGAAACTGGACCCATTACAACAGTCAGAGACTCAGAGCTGGAAGGCCTTTCAGAGGCCAAATAGTCCAAGGTCCTCATTTTACAGATGAGGAAACTGAGGCCCAAGGAGGCAGTCACTTGCTCAAGGTTACGCAAGGAGTAAGTAGGCAGAGATAACATTTGAACCCAGAACCTATGACTCAACTCCATCATTCTTCACAGCCTCTTGGGGTCTATGGCAGTGCCTGAAGTCAGAGGACCCGGGTTCAAATTCCACCCCTGATGTTTAGTACCTGAGTGAGCTGAGGCAAGATCCCCACTGCCCCGGCCTCAGTTTCCTCCTCGTAAAAGGAGGGGGTTGGCCTCGATGTCTCCAATGCTCCTCCCAGCCCCGCGGCCCCCTAGGAACGCAGCCGCTAAAAGGGCAGGTGGGCAGCCGCTTCACAGCCATGAGCTGCCTGGCAAGCAGCCCCAGAAAGCAGGGAGGAAGAAGTCCGCCATAAAAAGAGGTGAGGACAGAGCCCATTAGCGGGCGAAGGAACAGCATCCAATTTTATGATGCCTCATCTGGCGCAGGGAAGGCACTTAGGAGGGGACATCCATCACACGGGCCGAGGGCTGGCGAGCACAGCCTCCCCCCACCCCCAAGCCTCGACAGGTCCCTGGCAGCAGCGGCCAGAGGCGCGGCCCCACCACGAGCTGCAGGGGCGCCCACACGGCCACACGTGGCTCCTCTGAGCTGGCGGCCACACGTGGCTCCTCTGATGACCTGATGCCCACCTTCGCAGCCTCCCCAGCCAATCAATAGGCAGCGGGCTCGACCACAGCCTCCAAGAAGGCCAAGCCTGGCTCTATCGCCTCTGGGCGCATCCTCCCTGTGAGAGCCCAGAGAAGCTCACGCCCTCGGCCTCCCCGGCCAGCATGGGGATCAGACCTGCTGGCCTTGAAGCCCCAGGTAAGATGCAGAGGTGAGACTGTTCAGACAGGGCTTGGGAGAGCAGGGACCCCTCCTTGTCCTGTGAAGTGGCATCACAGACCCCCAGCTGGGCACAGCAGGGGGCAGTCCCCACAGTGCGGTGCCCAGTAAGGCCATCCCTGCCCTCCTTTCTCTTCCCTTTGTTCTGCCCTCAAACTGGGGCACGTCACGAGCTCTCCCAGCTCCCCTGCCCCTCATGCTAGCCAAGAGCTGCCTGGCCGGCCGCTGACACCAGAGGTGCCCCCTCTCGCTGGCAGGCACCTGGGGGCCAGGAAGGCGCTGGCACATCTGCCCCTTGTCCACGCCCAACACGGTGTCCCTCCCCAGTTGAAGAAAAGAGGGCCCACCACTCGGTCACCAACACCTCGTCTCACCAGGCATCTGGAAACCTGCCCTAACGATGCCCCAGGACTCTGAACGTGCGGCCTGAACGCTGCCTGGGCTGAGCGAAATGTCTGCAGGAAAAACCAGGGTGGGCCCTGGGGAGATGGGTCAGACGAGAAAAGGAGGACGTCCCCCGGGAGGTCCGAGACAGCCCCAACACCGGCTTCCCCTCCTGGCAGGGGCTGCCGGCTCTGCTTTTCCCCTCTGGCTTACACGATGCAGGCATCCTTACATCCCTAACACGGCCATGGAGGATCTGGAGCAGAGGGGACCCCTCCTCTGGCCAACGCTCAAGGATGGGCCTGGGCCTGGGCCTGGACCGGAGCCAGGCAGCAAGTGCCAGGGGGCTGGCACCGAGACACGCATTAGACGAGGCGCAACAATCCTCCCCAGCCCTGTGCCCCATGACCCGGGCACTCACCTGCATTCACGATGGCGTCCACCTCCAGCTTGGTGATGTCTCCGCGGAAGAGGGAGATCTTCTCATTCAGGGCCTTGTCCTTCTTGTACTGGGGCTCCTCCTCCTTAGCGGTAGCCCCTGAAACAGAGTCATGGGCGGCTCTGACGCCTCTCACCCCGTACAGTGCCTGGCATGCTCCCGCCACGTTGCCCACCCCAGTACAGCATAAGCACCCGGAGGCCAGGGCTCGATGCCTTTCCCACCCTGTGTCCCGGGCCTTGGAGCTGGGCAGGGCTGAGCACACGTCCCACCTCTGATGCAGACAGGACATTCCCAGGTGCCCGGAATGTCCACCCTCCTCCCCATGCCTCGCTGATTCTGCCGGGCGCCATCTTCTTCTAGTGCCTCCCTCCCAAACCACCCCGTGCCCACTTTTGTTCATTCAGCTACGAAGAGCTACAAACGGACATCTGGCCACCCCCGTTAGACTGATGAAGGAGCAATCTGTACGGAGTCCTCTTTGCCCTTATCCCCGGTGCCCACCAGCGTGCCTGGCACCACGCTGGCACTTAGGGTGCGACCCTGGGCAAACGACTTCACCTGCCCATGCCTTAAACACTCCTCGCTATACGCTGCAGAAAAGGATGGCAACGTGCACTGGGAAAGGGAGTTTCCGCACCTATCCCAATGGGATCCCAGGCCCGGGCCCAGCCCTATCCCGAGCGCACAGCACGACGCCTAGCACCTCGCAGGCATTTAATAAACGCTTCTGAGGATCACACGAGTGGCGGGCTGCAGCCGCTAACTCAAGGGGGTTCCCGGCTTCCTCCTCCCGCCGCCGGCCCCGGCTGGGGCCCTCGTACCTTTGGCCATGTCCTTCCACGTCGGGATCTTCTTCAGCTTGACAAAGTCTCGGCAGAAATAATGCTCCTCCCTCTGCTTGTCACTCAGGCCCTTCAAAAAAGCTGCAGGAGAGGACGGCCAAGGAGAATTCAGGGTAAAAACAATAACAAGACCAGAACTTTACGTCCCATTCACTCGTTGGGGCTTCACAACGGCTCTGGGAGCTAGGGGCTACTAGCATCCCCATTGTACAGATGAAGAAACCGAGGCCCACGGGTTCAGCGACTTGCCCAGGGTCACCCAGCCAGAGCCGCAATGCCAGCTCGCTGCCAGGAAGGGGGAAGGGATGAAATGAGAAACAGGCAGCACCGGGGTGGACGTCCCCACTCCCACAGCATAGAGAGAACCAGGGATCCGGGTCCGAACGCTGTCTCTGTGAAGGTGCTGCCCTTTCTGCGACTCGGTTTCCTCATGTGTAAAAGGAGGGGGCCGGACTAGGAGGTTTTTAAGGTCCTACGCTCACGTCCACTCCTTCCTCAGCAGGGGCCTGGCGTCCAGGAAGGGGATGCCACGTGGGTCCCTCGCCCAACCACCAGCACCTCATCTGACCGATACTTTAGTCTTTCCCCTGGGAACCTGATATGCCTCGGTTTCCCTATCTGTAAAATAAAGCCCCCCAGGGTCCCAGCTGGCTCTGGATCTACATCCCAATGTCTTGGGACACTGCCCCGACACTCTGAACGCAAATGAATCTCTCCCGACTGCCCACTTCCCCGCCCCCAGGCCTTTCCTCGTGCCCTCCGGTGACTCGTTCCGACATGCTGCTGAAGGGGGGAGATCGTTCCTGGCAGCGAGGGCCAGGAGCCAGGCCGGGAGCCGGGCCAGGGGGCCGGGAGCCGGGCCAGGGGGCCGGGATGGCAGCTCTGAGGGCCGCTGTTCCGGGATCTGGGCAGGTGGGCCGGAGCGGCCAAGATAGACGGCTCAACCGCACCACCTAGAGGCCATGCCAGGCCCCGCGTCTCCCAGGCAAAGCATAGGGGGGAGTCTATGCTTAACTAATGAGATAATTAAATTATGGCCTGTCGAAGATAAGACTGCAGGCGCATAGCGCTGGAGGGGACGGTGGCCTCAGCGGCCAAGGAGTCCAACCCCCTTGTTTTACAGACAGGGAAACTGAGGCTCGTGGAGATGAAGCGATTTGCAAAGGTCAAGCGAGGTGGCCGACAGACGCACAAGTGGAGAACTGGAAAGGGGTCTCAGAGACCCTCCAGTCCAAGCCTTCGGTTTTCCTTACAGCAGTATTCCAAGGTCTATTTGTAAAAACACACATACAGTGCACAAATGGAGATGAATGTATTTACACAAGTATATGAACATACGCGCACGTTTAAAACGCTGGGTATGAATACAGGTGGGAGACGCTTCGGCCCACCACAGCTCTGTCCCCCCAACCTGACTCCTTGAAAAGGAAACAGCCTCTTCCCTGCCCATCTCCCGCCTCCCCTCTCTCCCGGCCCCCCATCCGCAGCACTGGTGGGCCCCTTCATCTGGAGGAGACACAGAGTTTGGCCAAACTGGGGCTTGACTTCAGAATCCTCGTGTCTGGGCGCTCAACATTCTATTACTGCCGCGGACCTCTCACTTTCCCTGGCACACAGTAGGTGCTTCATGCGAATGCTGGCTGACTAACTAGTCCCCTTAATGTCAGGGTTCCCAAAACTTCTCTTTCTTCTGAGAGGCGGCTCAGCTCACAGGCTTAGGAGATAAAGGTTGGCCTCCCGGTGGAGAACCTGGCCTGCCTCCGACCAGCCCGGTCTGGGTCACTTAACCTCAGACCATTCCCAAAGGCAGAGGTGTCCTGGATCCCCGTGGCGGTCTGGTAAAGTCTATGGACCCCTCTTCAGAACGAGGCTTTTGGAGGCACGGTAAACATTAAACGATTACAATAAAATACAGTCATCAAACTATTTATAAAAGCAAAACTCATGAACCACAGGCTAATGATAATAACTATAATTGTTGTTCAGCCGTTTTTTTCAGTCGTGTCTGACTCTCTGTGACCCCGTGTGGGGTTTTCTTGGCAAAGATACTGGAGCAGTTTGCCTTTTCCTTCTCCAGCTCATTTTACAGATAGGAAACTGAGGCTAACAGGGTTAAAACTGACTTGCCCAGGGTCACATCGTTAGGAAGTGTCCGAGGCTGGATTTGAACTCGAGAAGATGAGTCTTCCTGACTCCAGGCCCAACACTCTATTTGCTGTGCCACCCAGCTCCCCGATAAATATAATAACTAATACTTTATAATAATTACTATTAGTTGTTAGACCATCCAGTACTTACCTAGTGTTTTAAGGTTCACATAAGCTATCTCATTTAATCCTCTCCATGACCCTGGGAGATAGCTGCCCTTATTTCTATAGTCATTTTACAGATGAGGAAACTGAGGCTAAGAAGTGTGTAATAAGAAAATGTGTAATAGAAAGTGTATAATAAAAAATGTGTAATAAAAAAATGACAATTTTACCTAATTCAATGCCATCCCAAATAAATTACTAAAAAATTACCTTACTGAGTTAGAAAATAATAACAAAGTTCATCTGGAAGAATAAAAGGTCAGAAATTTCAAAGAAACCAGGGGAAAAGTGGAAAGCAAGGAGATTCAACAGTATCAGACCTTCAACTACACTGTAAGGTGAGGGTACTGCTGGAGGGTAAAGCAGATCATTTTGATTATTTTAAATTTAAATTTTCTTGTGTAAATAAAACCAAGGTAGTCAAGAACAGAAGGAAAGCAGAAAATTGGGGGGAGGGGGACCTTCATAGACAATCTCTCAGATAGAGTGTGACTGGGCTGGAACTCCGCTGTGGTGCAGGACATAACGAGTGGGCTGGTTCAGAGAAAGACTCAGACCACTGGAGGAAGATGAAACAGATCCCAAGGAGAAACACGCACAGCACAGTCTTACATCCGTGTGTGTATGCGTGCATATGTGTATATACGTGTATGTTTACAGGTACCTACGTATGAATACATATCCATGTTTAACTGCAGCTTTCTTGGGGAGGGAAGGGAGGGGAAAAATAAAGTAAAAAGTGCACAGCAGAGAACCAAAGAAAACCTACCACGAAGCAAAGAAAAGTCAAGCGGCTTTGAAAACCACGTCTGGTATTTATTATATAGGTTTTCTTGAAATGGAAATTTATTGAATCCTCTCGTGTTCTGCCATGCACATGGAAATGTTCTTTTTTTCCTCCTTTCTCCATTTTGTATTTAAGTTCAACACGAATAAAAAAATTTACAAAAAATAAGTCAAGGGCCTTGCCCAGGGTCACCCAGATACTAGGTGTCTAAGAGGCAGGATATGAACCCAGGTTTTCCCGTTTCCCTCACTCTAAAGTTATAAGTCACAGAGAAGGTGCTGATCTGCACTGGTAAAGAGACTTCCTCAGCGGGAGTGTAACCTTTCGGTGCCTCAGTTTCCTCATCTGTAAAATGTGGGCGCTGGTCATCTCTAAGGTCCTCTCTCATTCAAATCCTATGATAACAACAGCCGCCCTCTCATACTGATGAAACCCCAGGACTAGATTAAATAAAAAAATCTTCCTTTGAAAGGCCCAGGGTTGCCAGCGCTCCCTACTGAGCCACCCCTCTGTCCCTTGGCGAATGAGGATGCTTTTGGCATCTCCTTGGTGGAGGGGTGTCAGGGGACCTAGGTTTGAGTCCCGGCAGCCTTGGGCACAGAGCCCACAGAATCTCAGCACTGGGAGGGCCTCGGAGGGGGCCAGGTCCAGCCTCTCATTTCAGAGATGACAGACAGAGGGAGGGACCATCTAAGGCCCCCCAGCTACTCGAGGACAGAGTCGGGAGCAAGGCCGGGCCTCCCGACTTCTAGCAGAAAAGGCGGGGTCCCAGGGGGGGAGTTGAAGGAACAATGAGGAAAAAAGCGCCGACTCCTATTGAGACCAGAGCCCCCGTCCTAACAGAGGGAGGCCACACAGAGGAGGGGGCACAAGGCAGGACGACCTGAGTTCGAATCCCACTTCTGACACTGACGGGCCGCTGGAAAGGCCCGTCGCTTCTCTGCATCCTCCTTCAAAGACCACGGGATCCTGCTGGCTATTAATAACGGATGACCTGGGCTCAGCCCAGCAGGCGGTCACGGGCGGCCATGACCAGGGTCCCCATCAGCTGGTTACCGCCGAGCCTCAGGCAGGGCTCGCCCTCCGAGGACCCGAGGTCCCCTTCCCCTCGTACCGCCCAGGGTTGGCAAAGCACTCCTCAGAGGGCACCCAAGCCACTGACCGCCGGCTGGTGGCCTTTCCTCCCCAGGGTGGTCAGTGGAGAGCGCCCAGGGCTCCGCTCCCCGCACGACGCTGCTGGGCCTGGGGCCTCAGAGGGCAGCTCCGTAAAAGATGTCCTACAGACATCTCTGCTTTTTATCCTGAGAGAATGGGGCATTTCAGAGTTCAGTGAAACAGGTGGCATAAAGAGATGTTACTATAAATTTTGATGAGCGAGCCTGACCTCCGAAGGGGCTTCCCAACTGCTGACGGGCCCTCAGGCCGGAGGCTGACCATAAAAACGGGAATTAAGTGATCTGTTTTAAGAAGTGCTCAGTTCAGAGAGGGGAGGGGAGAGGCGGACCACTCCATATTTCTTGAATGACATCCCACGGAGAAGCAGGGGCGCGCCTGTAGCACACTGGAGCTGGTTTCAAAAAAGACCTGGGTTCAAATCCTTCCTCATTCACTGAGTGGTCTCAGAGGTTTTTGTGTCTCAGTTTCCCCATCTATAAAATGAGGATTATACCAGAACCTTCTTCCCCAGCTCCTGGAAATGCTCAAGTAAGAGAACAGACATAATCCCTAGTCCTTAGCAGAGCCCCTGGCACATAGTAGGTGCTTCATAGATGCTGACTGACTGACTGAAGGCACCAGAGATGACATGTCCGTTATCATGGGATAAATATCATTTAACTTTTTTCCATTGTCAACGATATCTTGACCTTCATTTCTAAATATATTTTTCCTCCTCCCCCTTGTAACAAAAGGAAAGGAATTAGAAGGAATATGCCCCACTCCACACCCGCAGCCCCCCACATCCACCTAAAGGAAGGGAGGGA